GTCGATCATCGATCGGCGGCGTCGACTGTTGTCATCGTCGTCGATCGTCATCGGTAGTCGTCGTGGTCGTCGTCGTCGTCGTGAATTACCGTCGCCGGTCGTCGTCGCCGATCGTCGATCGCCCTCGAGCCTCCTCCTCCTCTCTCCCCCCCTCCTCCCCTTCCGCTCCTCCTCCCCGCCTCGTCCTTCTCCTCTTCCTCTTCCTCCTCCCCCTCCTCCTCCTCCTTCGCCCTCTCCGTCTCCTCCGCGCGGAAGAAATCCAACAACATTTCGCGAAAATCAGCGAATTGTGGCCCTCTGGGAATTTTGGGGCCGTCCTGGGGCCCTCCTGGGCGCCCTGGGAACCCGGAAATCATGTTCCCGGAGAAGCTTCTGGGAACATGATTTCGAACGAGGCCCTCTTGGGCCTCCCTAAGGCCGTCTTGGGGGCCTCCTGAGCCGGCGTTGGGGCCTTTTGGGCCGTCTTGGGCTGTCATGGGGCTCCTCGGGGGCCACTCTGAGGACGAAGCAAGCGAGTATGCTGAAATTGTACGTTTTACAAGGGGAATGGGTAAAGTTCTGCCTCTTGAAAGCCCTCTTGGGGCCCTCTTCGGCCATCTTCAAGCCATCTCGGGCCCTCTTGGGGCGCTCTTGGACGTCTTGGGGCCCTCTGGGGCCTCGATGAGGCTGTCTTGTGTGCCTCTTGGGCTGTCACGCGGGCAGCGTCGCCGCCGTCGGCGTGGCCGTCGTCGTCGCCGTCGATCGTCGATCGGCGGCGTCGACTGTTGTCATCGTCGTCGATCGTCGTCGTCGTCGGTCGTCGACCGTCGTCGATCGTCGTCGTCGTCATCGTCGTCGTCGTCGTCGTCGTCGTCAATCACCGTCGCCGGTCGTCGTCGCCGATCGTCGATCGCCCTCGAGCCTCCTCCTCTCTGCCCCCCTCCTCCCCTCCACTCCTCCTCCCTGCCTCCTCCTTCTTCTCCTCTTCCTCCTCCTCCTCCTCCTCCTCCTCCTCCTCCTTCGCCCTCTCCGTCTCCTCTGCGCGAAAGAAATCCAACAACAGCTCACGCAAATCAACGAACTGTGGCCATCCGGGCCTTTTCGAAGGTCCTTTTAGGGACCTTTTGGGGCCGTCCTGGGGCCCTCTTGGGCGTCCTGGAAACCCGGAAATCATGTTCCTGGAGAGGCTTCCGGGAACATGATTTCGAACGAGGCCCTCTTGGGCCTTCCTGAGGCCGTGTTGGGGGCTTCCTGGGCCGGCTTTGGGGCCTCTTGGGCCGTCTTGGGGGGGTTCCGTGAGCCTCACGGGACGACCCGTTTGGGCCGTCGTGGGCCCTTGGGTCTCTCTATTGGGCTGTCTTGGGGCTCGGGGGCGTCTGGGGCACTGTGAGGACCAAGCAAACGAGCATGCTGAAAATGTGTGCTTTACGAATGGAAATAGGCCGGTGTTTGCCTCTTGAAGACCCTCTTGGGGCCCTCTTCGGCCATCTTCAAGCCATCTCGGGCCCTGTTGGGGCGCTCTTGAGCGTCTTGGGGCCCTCGCTGAGGCTGTCTTGTGGGCCTCTTGGGCTGTCTTGGGGGCCTCATGGGCCGTCTTGGGCGGGTTCGTGGACCCCGCAAGACGCCCGGGGCGGCCATGCCAACCGGTGGCACCACCCCACCCCCGCCCCCGGGCCCCGTCCGTCTGTCCTACTGCTCCTCTCCAAACCCTCGTTCCCTAACCTCCCGATCATGTTCCCGGACCCCCGTCCCTTCCCCCCAGAGCACCGCAGCAGTAGGAAAGCGTTCCGAAACGGTGAGAAATCATGTTCCCGGAAAGCGTTCAAGAATATGAATCGTACGTCGTCCAAGGCGCCTCGGAAGGCGCAGAATACTCCTCCAAGGCGCGGAATTATGTTCCCAGACCGCCTTCCGGGAACATGATGGGGACGACTTCTGAGGGCCTCCAGTGGGCCTTGGGGGCCTCTCGGAGGCCTGTATATATACATTATGTATTATATATATATATAGAGAGAGAGAGAGAGAGACCCATACGTAAGACATGTAGGACTGTGTACACAGGAGAAGGACAATCTATATAAACATAGGTACGTCGTCCAAGGCGCCTCGGAAGGCGCCTCGGAAAGCGCAGAATACTCCTCCAAGGAGCGGAATCATATTCCCGGACCGCCTTCCGAGAACATCATGGGGACGACCTTCTGAGGGCCTCCAGTGGGCCTCTTGGGGGCCTCTCGGAGGCCTGTTGGGCTCTCCTGGAGGCGTCTTGGGGCGCGCTCAGGGCCATTGTTGGGCATCTTGGGGGCCTCTATATATGGGGAAGAATTGAAATACGTGGAAGGAAGTGGCACGACTCGGGAGGGCTTGGGGGAGGGGTATATATATATATATATATATATATATATATGTATGTGTATATATATATATATATAGTAGACCCATACGTAAGACATGTAGGATTGTGTACACAGGAGAAGGACAATCTATAGAAACGTAGTACGTCGTCCAAGGCGCCTCGGAAGGCGCCTCGGAAAGCGCAGAATACTCCTCCAAGGCGCGGAATCATGTTCCCGGACCGCCTTCCGGGAACATGACGGGGACGACCTTCTGAGGGCCTCCAGTGGGCCTCTTGGGGGCCTCTCGGAGGCCTGTTGGGCTCTCCTGGAGGCGTCTTGGGGCGCGCTGAGGGCAATTTTTGGGCCTCTTGGGGGCTTCTGGGGGCCTTCGGGGAGGCTCTTGGGAGCCTCTTTGGGGCCTCTTGGGGCCTCGCGGGGCCCTCTTGGGGACCGCTGGGCTCGCTTAGGCAGTCTTGAAGCCCTGTCGGGGCACTCCTGGAACCATCTTGGGCGGCTCCTGGGCCATCTTGGGGCTCTCCTGGGCTGTCTTGGGACGATTTGGGGGGTCTCTTGGGCCGTCTTGGGGCGGTCTTGGGGGCCTCTTCGGCCGTCTTGGAGCGGTTTTGGGAGACTCTTGGACGGCCTTGGAGCGTCGGAACCCACAAAAAGCGAGAAGGCCAAAAACCTAGAAAAAAACAATACAAATCAACGATTTTGGCTTGTCGGGGCTCTCTTGGGAGGCCTCTTGGGATGCCTTCGGGGCCTCATGGAGCTCTCTTGGAACGTCTTCGGGCCTTCCTGGCCATTCCTGAGGCTATCTACGCGCGTCTTGGAGCGCTCGCGGGCCGTCTTGGGCGGTCTCGAACTGTTCCTGGCGGTCCCAGGGGCCATCCGGGACGCTTCGGACGCTCCCGGGGGCGCCCTGCACACCCCATGGAGATGACAGGCACCGCCCCGGGGCCCTACTCCGAGATATATATATATATATATATATATATATATATATATATATATATATATATGTATATATATATATATACACACATATATATATATATATATACACACCAAACATGGAGATCAAGGATCTGGGTTTTTCGGGCCTTCTCGGGACGCCTTTCGGAAGTTCTTCGAGGCCTCTTGGGCTGCGCACTTGCAGTCTGGAGCCCACCAGGGGCCGCGATAGGGCTTTCTGGGCTGTTTTGGAGGGACTGGTCGAAGTCCCCGGGCTGGGACAGCCCGGGGGCTCCACGGCCTCTCCGGGGTGCTTTGGGAGCGGTCTGGGAAACCCCGGTCTTCCCATGCCCCCCCCGGGCCCCCGGCCCGGGGCCTTGTGCGCGGGTGTATGTTTGTATGCACGTATGCACGTATGTATGTATGTATGTATGTATGTATGTATGTATGTATGTATGTATGTATGCATGCATGTATGCATGCATGTATGTATGTATGTATGTATGTATGTATGTATGTATGTATATACACACACGCACGTACGCACAAACACTTCTAGCTAAACGTCCATTGAGTCACTGAAGCACACGCGCGCCACCTCGAAGACGACACAATCAATACTCCCAACACGTACGCAATAACCACATGCATGCACGCAATCGATGCCCGTTCGAAGCATCGATTACACAGCTGGGACAAAGTGAGAACGAATTCATAAAACGATCATCGTGAATGATCTGCAGACGGCAACGCCCAAAGAGGAAAATTAAGGTAGATTCGCCCTTCAATGTTGGCAGCGTGCGCAGGCGCGCACCATGGGCCATGCCATTGATACGCCGCGCCTTAGTTTGCGCGCCCAGTGGCAACATTGGGAGGCGGACGCTACTTAATGCTCGGGTGTTTTTCCAAGTTGCTCCTTCCAAGGGCCGCTGGCGTGGGCGGTTCCACGTTCTGCCTTGCGGTTTCGTTCCCACCCGTCGGATGGCTAACATGCAACGCGCAATGCAGACGATGCGTTTTCCATAACATTGACATGCGGATGTCACTTGATGTGACGGGCCCCGCCTGGTCAGAGTCAACTTTTTGTTTGCTTCCATCCCTGTGCCGCTTTCGTTATATATTCCACGGGGATGTACGCATTACGTGTTATATGCAAACGCTAAACCAACAAACAATCAATTATAGGAGGCGACAAGGTGAAGGGAAGGCGGGCGGAAAAGCAAGAGACGGGGTAGGGAAAACATATGCGAACGCACGAATTAAGCACGGCAGAACGGGCACGAAACCCAACAGCAAATGTGGCTCAAACCGACAACGGCCGCTGTTTGGCAGGCGATCTTCTGTCTCAAATGGACAGCGTCCGCAGCGACATGGACGACGAAACCTGTTCCAAATGAACACGACCTGCCGCCGGTCTCTGCACCCCATGTTGTCCGCAACCCCGATCGTGCCGAGTGGAGGCCAGTACAACCCTGGCTTCTAAGGATCCTGCAAAATCTGGCTCTCTGACTGACCCCCTTTTGCACTGACCCCCGCCTCAAGGCTCCCAAGAGAAAATTGTAAGTCAGCGGGTGAACCGAAGCCGGCCCAAGCGCCAATCGTGCCACGGGCGGGACGCGCCGGAAGTGAACTGGGGCACGGTGGAATGTGGCAGGGGCAGAGGGAAAGGGAAGGCAAAGCTGCTCAGATCGTGCAGCTCCTGAGAGGAACAGAGACGGGAGGGGGAACCGGCGCCTCGCGCTCGTGGCTGCTCTCGCAGCATGTCCTCTTGCGGAAGGCCGCAAAGGCCAAGGCGGCTGCGCGAGCGAGGCCAGGAGAGCTCGCGGGGGCAAGGGCAGCGGCGCGGGGAGGGAGGGAGCGAGGGGGAGGGAGCGAGGAGGACGGAGGAAGGAGGGATAGGAACGAGGGAGGGAGGGGGGGGGGGCGAGGAAGGAGGAATAGGGGGCGATGCGGACGGAGGGAGGGAGTGAAGGAACGAAAAAGGAACGAGGAGGAGGGAACATGAACGAACACCACTGGGCACCACACGCCGTGTCAGAACATCAAAATCAAGCGCGGTGCTCGGTAAATGCATCAGACCTCGTCGCCTGGCGACTCGCGGCCCCGCCGTGACGGCAAATTGGTTCGTGGGCGGCCAGCTGGCTTGGGCATTGCGCACTGGGGACTTCTGCCGCAACCATCACAGGCGCCGGGCTGACGCCACTATCAGCTGGAAAAGGCTGAGACCGAAGGCCGTGCTACACCCAGCGACGGTGGCATCCCCCCGCCGAGCAGGTTTCGCAACGTCCTCCCCAGTCCCAGCGCCCGCTGTCCCACCGAACAGAAGGCCAGCTGCAGCTCACCAAGACCGCGGACGCAAGTTCCATTGGCAGCGCGCCCCAGGGGAAGGACTGGAAACCAGCGGCAGGGAGCGAGGAGGGAGAAGGGGGAGGCGGGGGAGGGAGGGAGGGACGGAATAACCGACGAGGGAATGAGGGAAGGGCCGCAGCCGTGCGTGCTCGAGCTGGCTCAGATTGGCGGCGCGGAGCGGCCAGAATGCGCGGCGGCAAACGGTCGCCGAGACAACCCTGGGTCACGCGGATGTCGGCTGCGCGCATGCGAACTCGCCGCGAGGCCCGCGCTGCCGCGCGTGTAGGTGCAGGTGAAAGTGAAGGTGAAGGTGTAAGCGTAGGTGTGGAATGTGAGATGTGAAATGCGAGGTGCGAGGTGTAAGGCGTGAGGTGCGGGGTGTGAGGTGTGAGGTGCGCGGTGCGAGGTGCGAGGTGCAAGGTGAAAGTGCAAGGTGCCAGGTGCGAGGTGCCAGGTGTAAGGCGCAAGGTGCAAGGTGCAAGGTGCGAGGTGCGAGGTGCGATGCGTGAGGTGCGGGGCGCGGGGTGCGAGGCGCGAAGTGCGAGGTGAGAGGTGCGGGGCGCGAGGCGCGAGGCGCGAGGCGCGAGGTGCGAGGTCCGAGGCGCGGCGTGCGAGGTGCGAAGTGCGAGGTGCGGGCGCGAGATGCGAGATGCGAGGTGCGAGGTGCGAGATGCGAGGTGCGAGGTGTGCGGTGCGAGGTGTGTGGTGCGCGGTGTGAGGTGTGTGTGTGTATGTATGTGTGTGCGTGCGAAGTGCGTGCGTGTGAGGTGTGTGTGTGTGTGTGTGTGTGTGTGCCTGTGTGTGTGTGAGGTGTGTGTGTGCGTGTGTGGTGTGTGTGTGCGTGTGTGTGTGTGTGTGCGTGCGAAGTGCGTGCGTGTGAGGTGTGTGTGTATGTGTGTGAGGTGTATGTGTGTGGGTGTGTGGGGCGTGTGTGTGTGTGTGGGTGTGTGTGTGTGTTTGCGCGTGTGCGTGTGCGTGTGCTGTGCGTGTGCGTGTGCGTGTGCGTTGCTCGTGCTGTGCGTGTTGTGCTGTGCGTGTGCGTGTGCGTTGTTGTGCGCGTGCGTGTGCGTGTGCTTGTGCGTATGTGTCTGTGTCTGTGTGTGCGTGTGCGTGTGTGTGCGTGTCTGTGTGTGAGGTGTGTGTTGTGTGTGTGTGTGAGGTGTGGTGTGTGTGTGTGTGCGTTGTGTGTCTGTGTGAGGTGTGTGTGTGTGTGTGTGTGTGCGTGTGTGTGTGTGTGCGTGTGCGTGTGCGTGTGCGTGCGCGCGTGCGCGCGCGCGTGCGTGCGCGTGCGCGCGCGTGCGCGCGCGCGCTGTGTGCGCGAGCGCGGGCGAGCGCGCGAGTGCGCGAGTGCGCGAGTGCGCAGGTGCGCGGGTGAGCGAGCGCGCGAGTGTGCGAGTGTGCGAGTGTGCGAGTTTGCGGGCGTGCGAGTACGCAAGTGCGCGCGCGCGGGTGTGCGCGCGCGCGGCGTGCGCGTGCGCGCGCGTGCGTGCGCGCGTGCGCGCGCGCGTGCGTGTGCGCGTGCGTGTGCGAGCGCTTGTGCGCGTGCTTGCGCGTGCTGCGTGTGCTGCGTGCGCTGCGTGTGCGGCGTGTGCGTGTGCTTGTGCGTGTGCTTGTGCGTGTGCTTGTGCGTGTGCTTCTGCGGCGCGCGCGGCGCTTGCGGCGTGCGCGGCGCTTGCGGCGCGCGTGCTGCGCGCGTGCTGCGCGCGCGTGGTGCGTGCGCGCTGCGCGTGTGCTGCGCGCGTGCTGCGCGCGTGCTGCGCGCATGCTGCGCGCGCTACGCGACGGCGGCGCGCGCGCAGCGCGTGCGCGGCGCATGTGCGGCGCGTGTGCGGCGCGAG